CCCCCTGCTTGTGTTCCCTCTCTGGCTGTCTCTCTCTCTGTCAAATAAATAAATAAAATCTTAAAAAAAAAAAAAGTGTGTTGCAGAATAGTGCATATTATAGGATCCTATAATCATAAAAAAATTGTAAGTTAACATATGTATAAAAAGAATCTAGAAGACTGTGCCTCACACTTAACAGTAGTTAGCAGTGAGAAATCAAGTGGGAAACATGGTCTGAGGGCATAAAGATAGGGTGATGGCAGGGCAGGGTTGTGAGAATAGGCTGGTGGGAAGGCCAGGGCAAGAAACGGGAGGCACTGGGGCGCCTGGGTGGCTCAGTCGTTAAGCATCTGCCTTCAGCTCAGGTCATGGTCCCAGGGTCCTGGGATGGGCTCCTTGCTCGGCAGGAAGCCTGCTTCTTCCTCTCCCACTCCCCCTTCTTGTGTACCTGCTCTCGCTCTCTCTCTCTCTGTCAAATAAATAAAAAAGGAAGAAAAAAAAGAAACAGAGACAAAAGCCAAAGTTGGCCTTATATTTCTGTGGCTGTGATTATGCATTTCACTCTCAACCTTTGAGAATCATAGGGATTTCATAGCTAGGTTGCAGCTGTATGCCCTCTCTTGATAAATTAGAAGACTATTCAATTTAGGGTCTTTTGGGATATTGTTTATTGTTTCCCTTTTTCTGATCCCTTCTTTTTTTCCATAAGGTAACCATGGAGAAAGAGCTTCGGAGCACCATTCTTTTCAATGCATACAAAAAAGAAGTATTTACCACCAACAATGGCTATAAATCCATGCAGAAAAGACTTCGGAGTAATTGGAAGATTCAGAGGTGACCATGTATATTGTTTTCCCTTCTAAGTGATAACAATAGCCTGCTGGTCATAATTGGAAAGCCTTTATTTTCTTATGTAAGCAGTTGTTTAGGTAGGAGGAGTTCAATTTAAGGATTGTTCAGAAGTAACTAAATGATTATAAAAACATTTCTTTTGAAAATTGGCAATTGGCATATTGTCTCCCAAATCACAAATCAAAAAATTATTCTAATTATACATATACAGCTTTTTAAGAGTTTAGAGTCTTTCTCTATATTTTAACTTGGGTGAGTACTTCAGTTTAGGGAAAGGAAAGATGAGAATATCTCTCTGTCTTTGTGTGTGTGTAAATGGTTTTTCTTAATGGGTAATGATATGTAATCATACCAGCTAATAGCAGAGCTGATTGAATTAGTAGTTGGAGAACTCTTTATACTCTTGTATGGTTTAATTTGGACTTCTTGGCCTATAGGAAGTATTTGAGCAGAGGCTGATCTGGGGACAAGCCTATAGAGGGGATTCTTACTTTGGGAGAGAGGCTGTACCAGGTACCTCTAAATCCCTTCATCTCTGGGCCTCTGCGGTCTCTGGTTCCATGTAGTCTAGAGGCTAAAATAATTCCTAAATTGGCTTGAATTATGGATCTAACACTTTAAAAATCATATTTCTAGCTTAAAAGATGAAATCACATCTGAGAAGCTAATTGGGGTGAAACTGTGGATTACAGCTGGGCCAAGGGAAAAATTTACTGCAGCTGAGGTAAGAAATATCCAAAAAGAAGAAATACGGTAAGATGGTTAGGTGCATGGGATTTAAATCCCTCTTCACCATACGCTGTGTTGCCTTAAGGTAATCACTTCCCTTTCTTTTTCTTCATCATGGAGTTATGATCATTAACTGAGATAATGTATGTAAAGTGCCAGACACATAGTTGAGGCTAATGAAATACTAGCCATACCTGTTTGCCATATTTTTGCTTTGAAAATGGGAAAATTCCTTTTATTTTATTTATTTATTTATTTTT